ACTCGTTCTGTATCATAAGTATATTCTAGAGTTGACGAAACAATTTGAAGATATCCAATTTGATCACTTACCTCGAGAAGAAAATTTGATTGTTGATGCATTGGCTACTCTGGTTGTAATGATTCGAATTAATGATAATACCGACATTCAGTCCATCAAGTTAGATGTTAAGAATATACCAGCTTATTATGTAGAGGGAGAAGAAGATGGAAAACCTTGGTATTATGACATCTTACAGTACATTAAGGATCAACAATACCCAATTCAAGCAACAAAAAATGATAAAAGGGTCATTCGAAGATTGGCTATGAGCTTTTTCCTAGATGGGGATGTCTTATACAAAAAAAACAAGGATCAAGTATTATTGAGGTGCGTAAATGAGACTAAAGCGAAGAAAATCATTAAAGAGGTGCATGATGAAATATGTGAGGCACATACTAGTGGACATATGATGGCAATGTAAATCATAAGGGTAAGATATTACTGGTTGACGATGAAGAATGATTGCATTGATTATGCTCGTAAATGTCATAAATGCCAGATATATGCTGATAAGATTCATGCTTCGCCATCTGCTTTACATGTAATGACACCACCATGCCATTTTTAATGTGAGGCATGGATGTCATTAGTCCAATCACCCCAAAGGCTTCTAACAGGCACAGATTCATTTTTGTGATGATGGATTACTTCACAAAATGGGTAGAGACAACATCATATGCAAATGTGACACGCTCCATGGTTTACAAGTTCATAAAAAAAGAGATCATCTGTAGATATGAACTTTCAGAGAGAATTATTTCAGACAATGCCAAGAATCTAAATAGTAAGATGATGCAAGAAATATGTGCTCAATATAAGATCAAGCATCATAACTCGGCACCATACCGTCCAAAAATGAATGAGGCAGTTGAGGCAGCCAATAAGAACATAAAAAGGAATTTAGAAAAGATGATCGAGACTTACAAAGATTGGCATGAGAAGTTGCCATTTGCATTGCATGCATATCGAACGTCAGTTCGTACCTCTACTGAGGCAACTCCATTTTCTTTGGTTTATGGGATGGAAGCTGTACTACCAGTGAAAGTAGAGATCCCCTCTTTGAGAGTCTTAAAAGAAGTCGAATTGAAAGAAGCTGAATGGATTCGAGAACGTTATGAGCAGCTAAATTTCATAAAAAAAAGAGGTTGACCGCGTTGTGCCATGGTCAGCTATATCAAAAAAAAATGATGAGAGCTCATGATAAGAAGATTCGACCCCGTTGCTTTCGAAAAGGAGAGTTGATCTTGAAAAGAATTCTCTCAATCCAACACGATAGTAGAGAAAAATGGACTCTGAATTGGGAAAGACCGTATGTGGTGAGACGAACTTTTTCGGGTGAAGCGCTGATACTGATTGAGATGGATGGAAATGATTTACCCCATCCTGTAAATTTTGATACTGTGAAGAAATACTACGCTTGAAAAAAAATGAAAAAATGAGAAAATGAAAAAAAATAATGAAAAAATGAGAAAATGAAAAAAAAAATGATGAAAAAATGAGAAAAATGAAAAAATGGAAAAAATGAAAAAATAAAAAAAGAAAAAAAGAAAAAGTGAAAAAAGAGGACTTAAGGCGAAAACCCTAAAAGGGCAGTTTGAGTCATAGGGGGTTTGTCTAAGTTGAAAACCTGAAAAGGTAGCTTAAATAAGGAGAATATAGCATCGAGTTTAAAAGTCCGCTGATATGGGGGCTAGCAAGTTCGAAAGAGTTCCAAGTTGTAAATACATTAGAGGATTGAGTTTTCAGAAAAAAACTTTGAGATGTGTTATCATGATTATCTTATTGTTCATTTTTGGCTTTGTCCCCATACCTATCATTGTAATTCTTCCTTGGCTGAAATTAGCCAACATTTTGCTAATAAGAGACAATATATTTCATTCTTTGTGTCTTTTTCTTATGACTGTTTCTCAACATTCAGATTCTTTTCTTCTTAATACCCCACCATTAAAGAAATGTGCAAATGAATTCTTACTTTTTGAGTTTGAAATAATGATTGATGAATGAATAACAACATGAAAGATTTTTACATTACATTGAAAAGTCAAAAGTGAAAAAAGCTGAATCGAGATGTTCAGCTCCTAATTAGGACATTGAATCTGGGAAGAGATTTTTTACAAGAAGAATATGAGTGGAAGAGACAATTAAGAGCTACACTGGTTCAATCTTAAAAGAGCAGTGTAATTGGATCTCTGAAGAATCAAAAGGCTTAATGCCCAAGAGAAAGCTTGAGGAACTTGAGTACCATACATTAAACATGAATTAATTGGCCAACATTTGCATAGCATGCATTGAAATTCATATGCATTTGCATAGCATACACTACTTTCAGGAAAGTATAGTGTATAAATTCAAGAAGCAGGGGGTTTCAACATCCCACATAGAGAAGACAGATATTAAGATATTTTACAAAATTGAAAAAGGAAAAGCTTGTCAGGTAAGTTCCTAATCCTTGAAATAGAATGTCTTTTGGTATCAGGGTTGATTTATAAGACCTTTGGGCGTAATCTCCTGAAATTCCTTCAAACACAACTTTCAACTCCTTTAGACATGATTGTCAAGGAGCAATTTATTTTTCAAAGTCGTGGTGCCTCTGTTTAGAGGAGCAATTTACTTTCCCAAAAGTCGTGGTGTCTCTGTTTAGAGGAGCAATTTATTTTTTCAAAGTCGTTGAGCTTCTGTTTAGAGGAGCTTCGATTAAAAAAAATAAAAACAAAAACAAAAGCAAACAAAAAAATAACAAAAAATATAAAAAAAATCAAAAAATGAAAATGTTGAGTTGAATCTTGATTGGGTGTCTACGTCTTTGCGCTATTTCTGTTTTACAGAAAATGTGCAAAGAGGGACAGCTGTAGACACCCAATTTGGTCCAGGCCCGGATCAATTGGGCCTGGTTCAAATGGGTAAGTCCAATTTTATTTTTGTTATTTTTTATTTTATTTTATTCTATATTTTATGTATATATTTTCCTTTATATCCTATGTATTATTTATTTATTTATTATTACTATTTATTAATATATATATTTTATTTTTATTTTTATTTATTTTTTATTTTATTTATTTTTGTATTTTTATTTATCTAATTATATATCTGTTATTATTATTATTTGTTTTTTTATTTATCCTATAATATGTTTTTGATTTATCTTTTCTAATTATTTATTTTTTTTATTTATTTGATTTTTATTTTGAAAAGTTGAGATTGAAGGCTGAGGAATCCTTCTGGGAATGGGGATTCAATCAGAAGAGTCCAGATTGGATTCAAAGATTGAATCCCCGTCCAAAGAGAAATTGGGATTGATCAGAAACTTCTGATCAATCCCTATAAAAGGGACCTCCTGGAACAAAATGAAACACAGAGAAAAAACGTGAGCAAAGCTACTGATTTGAGATATAGAAGAGTATAGAAGGCTAAGAAGTATTCTGGGAATTAGCAGAAATTTTTTGAAGATTTTTGACATTTTTTTTTCTGGGAATGTTTGGAAAATTCCAGATTCCGGTTGAATTTTTCGAACGAAAGTTGAATTTTTCGACGGAAATTTCGGCCAACTTTGAAGTTTCCGATGAGTTGCCCAGTTTTCGGCGACCTTTTCCAGAAACCGACCACCTTCCGACCAACTTCCGACGAACAATCCAGATTCCAGTGAAATTTTCCAGAATCCGACGTACATTCAACCAGAGTTCTTCAGCTTTTAGAGAGAAGCGGGAGAAAAAGGAAGAAGAGAGAGAGGGGAGGAGCGTTCTGTCGAAAAACAGAGGGAAAGAGCCTTATATACCCTCCTAAAACGACGTCGTTTTGACCTTAAGTGACTTAGAGGATCCGCGCGTTTTGTCGAGATCCGACCCGACCCGAGTGTCGACCCGCGTCCTGACCCACGCGTGTATCCCTCTCCAAGCCGATAGCTGAGCCGAGCCGGGTTTTCAAGCCACTTCTCCGAGTCGTTTTCTCTTCCTTGAGCCGAGCCGAGCCGAGCTGCTCCAGGTTTTTTTTTTGAATTTTTTTTATTTATTAGATTAGGTTTAGTTAATATTTTTTTATCTTTATTTTATTTTTATTTTTGTTTTGCTTTTCTTTATTTTATTTTTTTATTTTCATTTTTATTTTGTTTTATTATTCAATTTTCTTTAAATAAAAATAAAAAATATATATTTTTTGAGAAAAGTTGAAAATATCAATTTTTCTTAAAAATAAAATTAAAAAAAAAGGGTTTTTTTTTTAGGAAAAGTTGAAAGTATCAATTTTCCTTAAAAATAAAATTTCAAAAAAAGGTTTTTTTTTTTAGGAAAAGTTGAAAGCATAAATTTTCCTTGAAAATCAAAATTTTCAAAAAAATATTTCTTGGGAAAAAGTTGAAAGTATCAATTTTCCTTAAAAAAAATTAATTTAAAAAAAATTAATTTTTGGAGAAAAGTTCAAAATATCAATTTTTCCTGCACAAGAACAATCATCATTTCCTTCATTTTTATTTTGATTTTGATTTTTCTTTAAATAATCCGACGGCGGAGCCGCTGCAAGTGAAACAGTAGTTTTTCTTGCATACTCTTGAGGTGAGGGAATTTTCTCAATTTTTTGCTAAAAGTATTAGAGTCAATTGAGAATAATTTTTAACAATTAATTACTTGGTAAAATTTTAAGGCTTATTGGATAACACAAATTTAAGTTGGTACCATCTTTTGATGCGCGTTGTGAGGGTGCTATAACCTTCCTCACACGTAATCGAACTCTCGAACCCTGTTCTGATTAGTAGACCTGAACTTATTCTTTTAGGGACCCTTAAACTTAAGTGTTCTCTGAAAGGACAGATTTTTTAGGTGATCAATCATACCTAAATAAAAAAGATTAGTGACGATTCTTTTAAGTCAATGTTTAACGATAGATCCCGAGATATAGACGTTATGACGCCAAACCCACAAAATAAATAAATAAACAACCAAACCTTCCAAAAAGAGACGCAAACGCCCACTTTTGTTTTGTCCTGTTTCTTCAGATTTTCTAATAAAAACACACCCAAACCCGAAGAAGAACTGGTCTTTTAAATCACACCTCTGATCCTTTTCTTACAGGAACCTCAAAATAAAACAAGTTGTTTTATTTATTTGTTTATTTTTTGTTTAATAATTTTGGCAATGAAACGTGGATACCCAGAATCTCCATCTTCCTCCTTTGGTCCACCTCAATCCAGATTAAAACATAACCCTGAAGGTAACATTCTTGTTGGGATTTGTTTCTATTGAGGGTTTTTTATTGTTTTTATATGTAATTAGAGAATTACTAAAGTTATGAGCTTTGGGTTTTTTTTTTTATATTTTATTGAATTGTAGTTTATGTTTGGTTGAAAAGTAATCAAATAGTTGTTTTGTTTAGTTTATTTTATGGTTATTTGGTTAAAATTTTGATTTTTGAAAACGGGTTTTGAAGAAAAAAAATCCTAATTTGATTGTTGAGTGAAACACTAAGTAACTAAGAATATAGTATTAAAAGATTTGCATTAAAGCTGCCAAATTTGTATTCTAGCTAAATGAAAGTAAGTAAAAAGTTTCAATCTTTCAATATTTGTTAGTTTCTTCAGATGCAATTCAATTGTGTATTCTTTTTTCTGTTTTTTTGGTTAATGAGTTGATTTTTGGACTTGGGTTTTGAAGTTCATAAGTTTTAATTTGAGAGGTTAGGAAAAGAATCCAAAATTTGATTGCTAGTTTTACAGCTAATAATGAAGAATTCAGTGTAACACTTTTGTTGAAGAAGCTGAAATTGTGTGTTGTGGTATTAGGTGATTCACAATTTTTGGAGGATGAGAGCACCAAGATTTTTGCTAGGAAAGTAGCTGATCATTATAGTGCAAGAACAAATCAAACTTTGGAAGAACGAGAAGCAAGTCCTATAATTCACTTAAAGAAGTTAAATAACTGGGTATGTTGTTGAATCTCATGAACTGCATTGTGAACTTATGACATATGTTTTTGAATTTTTAGCCATTCATGTTCTTCTTTGAATGGACAGATTAAAAGTGTCTTGATTCAGCTTTATGCTCGTCAGGGTCATGCTGTTCTTGATCTTGCCTGTGGCAAGGTATTTTAGTACCTTTATTTGTATTTAACTTAACTTTTTAATTCTCTAAAGTCAATGTATTTTAAACCTGCTGTTATTGTTTACTTTTATGTGGTTTAGGGTGGTGACCTCATCAAATGGGATAAAGCAAAAGTTGGATATTATGTTGGCATTGATATAGCTGAAGGCTCGGTAAAGTGCCAAAATACTCAGTTTCTTTTTTCTCTATTTTTGTTTACTCTATCATCTGGTTTAGTAGCCTAGTTTAGCTGTGGTCAACCTCTGGTATCTGGGGCACCTCTTTCAGTGCTTATATCATAATTATTCTGAGCCATTAATTTCTTTAAGCAGTACCATTGGTAACAAAGATGCCATGATTTAGTTTGTTTCCAATCGACACACATGAATTAATCCTTAGATTTCTTGCATAGTTCTTCTACTTATGACCTCATGAAATAATTTTAAAATGCAGCCTTCTGAAACATGAGGCCTATGCAATAGTGGAGTTTACAGTGTTTCTAGCTTTAAATCACAAATAAATTGTGTGCTTCTAAAATGTATTAACAACCTGCAGTGAATCTGTCTGTTTTATGCTTTTGATCCGCACGCTACTCCACCCCTGAAAAAGAATGAAAAGAAATGGAAAGAAAATCTTCTTTACACATTTTTTTATGTCACAAGTTGCCATACTCATTTTTCATTCTCTATTCATGCACAGATAGAAGATTGCCGTACGCGATATAATGGTGATGCAGACCATCATCAACGACGCAAAAAGTTTACATTTCCTGCTCGTCTCATATGTGGGGATTGTTTTGAGGTAACAGCAATGTTGATAATCACATTTGAAATACATGTTCACTAGCCAGCTTACTTAGTCTCAGCTTCTGTGTGTTAATTATCATAATAAATGGCATGCTTGGTCATGGTCAATATTGACTAGTGTTATATAAAAATAGACATCTATACCAGTGAAACAAAATATGCCTTTTGGGAAACTGGACCTTGGGACTAACTTATTAATTAAGGATGAATGTGGTTTAGTAGGAGTTACAGGATATTTCAATATTTATATTTTGATGATTTTCAGGTGCGCCTGGATAAGGTTTTGGCAGATGATGCTCCTTTTGATATCTGCAGTTGCCAGGTGAGAGTTCTATTCTGTTTTCTTGAATGGTTGAAAAATCTGCTATTATATGTCTATTCTGCTGCCCAATTATAAAACTACGGCAAAGGTTTAGCACAACTTTGGTAATTTTATCTGTTCAAGCTATTTACCAATCTGTTGCCTTGTCAATAAATTGGTTACTATTCAAAAGTTTGAGTTGGAGTTCTTTAGCATTCTGAAAATATTCTTAATAAAATGCCTACGTATAAAGTAGACAGAGCTACCCATGCTACAAACTAATATGCTTTTTCATAATAGCTCTATATGTTATAATTTTAATGAAACCATAATTGTGGTTGTAACGATGCACTCTTAAATTATGCAGTTTGCCATGCATTATTCCTGGTCTACAGAGGCACGAGCACGTCGGGCACTGGCCAATGTATCAGCTTTACTTCGTCCTGGAGGCATCTTCATTGGGACGATGCCAGATGCCAATGTGATAGTCAAAAAACTTAGAGAAGGTTAGTATTATATTTCTTGTCTTGAAAACAATGCCATAGAAAATTGATGTTTAAGTGAAGCAATAACTGAAATTTAGAGTTAGGAAGCATCCAATATATAACTAAACACATAATATAATTAAATACCAAATTTGATTTCCAAAAAGCGCTAAATTTAGGTGCCTATATCACCTTACATATCTGCATATACAAATTTTGATTATAGATCTTACATAAAGTGACCAAAGCTAGTCTTTCTAGTGAATGACATCATATAATTTTATGGTTTCTTTAAACCAATTAGCGCAGTGACAGTCTTCTTGGTAAACAAATGTTGCATATTTGTTGGGCATGGCAGACTACTTTTGTCATTCTTGATTGGAGATGCTATTTTCACTGTAACTATGCAGCTGAAGGATTGGCTTTTGGCAACAGTGTCTACTGGATACATTTTGATGAAGAATTTGCTGACAAGGTGAATGCCATCCTCCTTTGTCTTGCAACTATATTTTCAGAAAAGATATTGATGTTCACTACGAGTTTTATCGAATTCTGACACGCTTTTATGATATGGTTCAGAAATTTAAATCTTCTAGGCCCTATGGTATCAATTACAAGTTTCACTTAGAGGTACTCTTTTGTGACAATTCAATCAGTTTTTCGGATTAAATATGGGAATTCTATCACTTTTATTATGGTAATTTGAGGGTAAAAATGGTGTTAAGGGTTTGTGCCATACTTTTTTGCTGTTGTCCTTAACTATGGTTGTCTTTTAACTTCGTCATAGAGTTGTGTGAATTATGTACCATTGGGATGTCTTGTTGCAGGATGCTGTTGACTGCCCTGAATGGATTGTTCCCTTCCATGTCTTCAAGTCATTAGCAGAAGAGGTATAATTCTGATCATAGCAAACTCCTTTTCAAGGAAAAATGGAGGTTTCTAACCTTCTTACAAATATTATTGTTATCATAATTCTTTTTCCTTGCAACAATTTTCACTGCTCTTCAATATAAGTTGACTCGGTGTTTTTGGGATTCTTATGTACTAAAATTTTGTTATGCTCATAATTTCTTATATTTGTCTTTGCAGTATGATCTAGATCTAGTTTTCGTCAAAAACTCGCATGAATTTGTGCATGAGTACATGAAAAAGCCAGAATATATAGAGCTTATGCGGAGGCTTGGTGCATTAGGTGATGGAAACCAAGACCAGAGTAAGTTCATTGTTTTCCAGACAGTTCATTACTTCATTGTCTCATTTCAATCATTCATCTTGCCATTTATTTTTAGATATACACTGATTAACTATTGTATTTGTTTTGCCATTGTGATCCATAGGCACATTATCTCCGGATGAATGGGAGGCGGCTTATTTATACCTTGCATTTGTTTTAAAGAAGGTTGGTATGGAATCCTGTATCATACCAGACTCTGATCTCTCCTCTTATTTGCTATTTGTGTCCTGCATTGTAGACTTTAGCCGTCTTTCAAATTCTTTTACAACTGGACGATACTAACTTGTCGGAAAATCTTCTTTGCAGCGTGGCCAACCAGATCGGACGCAAGCAAATAGTAGAAGAGATAAAGGACAGATGCAAATAGCAAAGGAGGATATCCTGTATATTAACAGTGATAATTAACAGGACAACCCCATATACCCCAAAGATTTATTTATAGTTCAAACGGGACAATAACAGAGGGATGGGTACTGCCTAGAGCAACACGTTGGTGAAGTTGGTCTTGCTCTTTCACAAGCCCTATTAAAAATTTTTCATGGCTCTTAAGTTTTGTAGGTTTTCAAATTCTTGTTGTAACATTGCATTCTCACGAAGCTTCTGAGAAATTGCCACTCAACTCGTAATTCTGGGACAGAAAAATTGTAGTAAAGATAAAACGAGAATGACTGAGAATCTCACTGAATGATGGTTAACAACGGTAATGAAGCCGAGTAGCCTCTTTTCAGAACTTGTACTAAAAGTAAGTTACATGAAAGTGATAATAACACTGGGAAACTTCGTTGTCATGTTGGTAGAATTTGCCATTTTCATTTTCAGATGTTGTTCCTGCTCTTTGTTAGCCATGTAGTACAAGCTTTAAGATTTTCATTGTCGAGTTGGCTGAATTCACAGATCACTTAACGCAGATAACGATTTTCCATGCCTCAATCACGAATGATACTTTAATATTCATTAATTAAATAAATAACTTACGAATATAATAAATATCAAAATAATAAAAATCATTTATGTTCAATTTATCTTACAAACGAAAGCAAAGTAAAAAAGCAAGTTGGATGAAAAAAATTATGAATATAATATACATAATTTATGAAAGAAAGTATAAAAAAAAAAAAAGAAAAACACACAATTGATGTATAAACGTATACAATTTTTATTTGTTTGTTAAGTTTGACAAACAATTACTAGTGAACCACTCATTCAGAAATGAGAACTCATTCAGTTTGATAATAACAAGCTGTACAAGACATTATCCAAATCTTAACCACCCACTGATAAAGGTAAGATGTACAAATTTTCATCACCATTATCATCCATAAAGTATCCAAATGAGAATGACAATGTTTTTGTAAGATCGGCAAATTCACATATTTTTACTCTAGGCTCGTTTCAGAAGCACAACCATAATAACCATCACTGCCAATCCCATCAAGCTAGCTCCAATTGTCTTGTCAAAATAGTTTGATCCGGCATTTTCTTTGGCCTTTTCAGCAGAGGGTAAAGTAAAGAGACTCTGGAGGAAATCAGTTGCTTTATTCACCATCTCAAACACAGTAGTCTTGACGTTCTGTACAAAATCTGAAATTGGATTTCCACCGTCTTTAGGTTGACTTTGATCGAAATATTCTTCAATCTTTACTGAAGATTCAGAACTAACAGGTGATCCGTTATCTTCAAATTCAACATCTGCAACACATTCATTTTTTAAATTCATGAAATGAGTAAGCGAAGCATCAAACAATTGAAGTACCAGAAAAGAAATATGCAAAATTCTCACTGGTCTTATGGGACTGGATGAAATCCATGTAAGCCGAATTGTTAAGGACAGCATTCCATACATTTGGATCAGCAGCAATCGACGCAACAACAGACTGGGAGAAAAACCAAAACCATCAACCATCTAAGTTATATTTTTGCAAAGTAATTTAAAAACGAAGATTTCGAAAATCAACAACCAAATAAACCTCCTAATACTTTTGCAAAGTATGTAAGATACAGAGGAGAGGAAGTGATCATAACCGCACCATTAACATTCTGTAATATGTATGGAAGATTATTATTCAAACATGTAGAAAACCAACTGGAGGGTAAGACATGATTGGAAAGGCACATCTAACATTTCTCAAGTCACAAGAATCCAAGATTTTGGAGGGAAATTCCTCTAGTGGTTTCCACATAATATCACAATGATTATGAGATCTTCAAAACACGAAAAAAAAAGAAAATTAACCACAACCTGAACTGCAGGACTCTCATTGAGCAATTTGAATGCCTGAATAGCAGGTTTTGGTACTGAAGTTGCTTTGATATCATAAGCAACACAATCTTTAGTCTCCTCAGTGTTCGAAAGCAATGACAGGCAAGACGCCTGAGTACTGTCGGCCGAATTTGGAGATGACAGATAAACCCTGAAAAAAAAAAAAAAAACAATAACCAAAGAATTCTCTAACACGTACAGAAAAACAACATGATGTTTTTCACATATTCCAATCAGAAGATCAGTGATCCATTCCACTCTCAAAGTAAATATATCTAGTCCAGTCCACAACTAACCCATAATTGGTTACAAATTCTTCACTTCTTTCCCATATCATATTTCAAATAGAAAAGAGTAAAATTATACTCACATAAATAACATAATAAAACACCAAAAATTTCATGAAATTCAACATCTTTATCCAAGAAATGCAATAATCACCAAAATTTCAGCCTAATTCATATTCCTTTTGTTAAAATTGATAACAAAAAAAACCCTTATGTTAAAGATATGAATTTAATGAAAAAAAATAAACTGTTTCTGTAATACACCATAAAAACTAATAAGAAAACTTCATTAAAGAACCAAATTTTCTTAAAAAAATAATTAGTAAGAATAAAAATTTCTCAAAGCAATAATCTTTACTTATCCAATGCATCTTTCAAATCAGTAGCGGCTTCTTTAGCCTCCTCCAAGCTTGGAACACCGCCAAACAACACCCGAGCCATCGGCTCTCCTCCGCCGGGGATGGCGGTAGCTACCTCCTCTTCAACACCTCCAGCAAACTCCCAATCATCCACCACCTCCCATGACACCTTGTGATTGGTCGACGCCGTCATGTCAGCAACGGAAGAAACCCCACCGCTAGAAAGAGCAATCGCGGAAGAAGACGAACGAGAAGCGGCGACGCGCATGACGGAGTGCTCGGCAGAAGACGGAGTCACCTGAACACCGCCACGAAGGCCGATTCCGACCCCAGCGACCTTCGCCGCCGCTCTCATGACTCCTCCGCCCATTTTCGTGATTCGAAGAAAATATAAAGAAAAAAAAGAAAAGTCTGGATTTTTTTTGGGGAATTAGCGACTTTAAAGGAATTGAGGAAGGATAATAGACATGGCTTTTTTATAGGAAAAAGGAAAACGAAACTCTGTTGTTTTTATCTTATTTTTATCATTTTAAAATAGTTTTATTTTTTCAAATATAAATAAGTTAGATTTTGAAATATTTAAAAAATAAAAACAATAATTTTCAATGTTTTAAAAACAATATTAAACAAAGAAAATGAAATTAAGAAATTAATTTGATTATTAAAAATAAATATAGTAAATATATTTTTTTTATTCAAATGGAAATAACCTCCCAAAAATGGATACTTTATTCAATTATTTTTAATTAAAAATTTCATTTTTTTAAAGAAATATTATGTTCTAACAATTTTGAATTGAGTTCGTTTTTATTTACTAAAAATAAAAAAATTTAATTTTTTAAACTAAATTAAAAATTATCATATATCTCATTTTTATTTTTTTTATTTTTTATTTTATAATATGTATCATCTTCTCACTTTAAATTTTATTTTGGGAAGGTCCTAAAATCCTTTTCTCTCCAAAGTATTTAGATCAAACGGTCCCCAATTATCCTTTTCTGCAAAGGCCCACTGGTTATCTAAAGCCATGTGAAGTAAACCCAACCCACAATTATATTTGGGCTTTAAAGCATAGCCCAATGGTACATTAATTATTTTGAACCTTTTAGACTATTGTTTGCCTTTCTGTGTCACTAATTTTATAGCTTCATATTGTTCTACAATTTCAATAAAAGAAATCTTCAATGATAAATCTGTTTTAGTTAAAGACAAAAAAAAAAAAAATCAAATTTAAGATATCTATTTAAACCCATATTGACAATGGCATAATAATACTTACTAAGTTTTGACACTAACTAAAATTAAAAAGTAAAGTTTCGATTAATAAAACGGATTAGTAAGTTAAGAGTCTTTGCATCGTATTGAAGCTTCAATTGAGCTCGAAATCTTCATTGATATTCAAAAGATAAATAAAAATTCCATTGTAATAAGAAATTCGAAATGATGAGAAGAACTTTTATCATACTATCTTATTTTATCGAACAAGACCTTAATCCCAAAATTTGATTGTAATAACTGGAGATATATGCAGTTCATAAACTTTAGATAAAAAGGAACTCTATTAGGTTAGATATCAGCATCCAATGTACTAAGAATCTATCACATGGGAGGGTCATACACTATATTTCAATATAAAAATTTTTATCATTATAGTTTCAGTAACAAAATCAATCCATATAGTACAATTACAATGACAATCCAACAAAAAGTAAAAATCTTGGATGGTTCAACTTCAATCTCATTGATAACCAAATTCCTCCAAGACAATCACCCCCTTTCTTTCCCTTTTGAGAATCCTTTGATCTTCTTCTCTCTTTACCTTAATATAACTAGCTAGCCCTTAAGCTTGATCTTTTTCATTATAATATATAATTAGAAACCTAACCTTTTTGACAAGCTGACAGATATGAAAGGACAAAGCAACCCACCAAAGGTAGGGGCCAAAGGCAGATTCCCTTGTTGAAAAGAATAGGAAATTTGAAACGGGAATGTCCTATAATAATTAATAGTTCCTAACTTTAATAGTTGATTAGTTGGGGGAAGTGATTAAGTGGATTATACAAATGTCTTTAGTGAACTCTATGCTTTTTTAATCTCTATGCTTAGTTGGACGTGGATTTAGTTGTGACTTTAATAGGTTATTCCTTAATAATGTTTTATTAATAAGATCTGTCAAAGTTAATTATCACAAAATTTTGATATGATTCAATCACTATTACAAGATTTTAAGATAATTCTTATAAAAAATTAAAATCATCAAAATTTTATATCGGGGCCTTTTGATTACCTAAATAATTAATTCTTAATGTATATATGCATAATCTTAATTTTGCGTTGTTTTTTAAGAATGAATCTTTGATGTTAGAGTGGATATATAACATGATTTGAATTACGAAACCTCACAAACTTAAATTAAATAGATTGAAATAAATGCAATATTAAAACTTGGGACAAAAGGGATTGTTACTAACTAGATTTATTAAAAGAAAAAAAAAACTAAAATTTTATGTCACAAATAATATATATATGCAGCTAATTTTGTCAATTAGGGTTGAACTTTGCTAATCTTAAATGTTGTGAATTGAATTGAAACATAATCCCTAGCTAAAAACTTTGTTAAACAAATTAAACAAAAAAGATTATATTGGCAATATACTTAGATTTGATAGCTTAAGATTTTATTAGATTATATTAGCATTAAATAGTTCCCAATTTCCAATTTCTTTTAATCGTTGCCATTTGCAAAGAAAACTTTTTATAAAAAAAATCACAATACAAATAAATTAAAATAAAAAAAGATTGCGGGTTTTGAAATTCAACCCCTCTTGAAGGGTCATAAATATCGTGTAGATTAAATAATTCATAAAAATCATAGAAAAAGATCGATTATTACATTATAAATTTTGGGCAATTATTTTCCCATTGGAGAGTTCAATAGGGAATTAAAATAGTAGGGAAATGCCCCAAAAGAAGATAAAAGGATCCCAAGAGGAGGCCAAAGTCTTCATGATAATTGCCAAAGCCAAAGACAATGAAAACAGAAGTGCAAAAATGCTTTATGTACCCTACATCTAGGTACTTGTGGGTCCATTTAATAATACAAACACATTAACACATTGACCTTACTTTTCCCGCGAAAAATAAAGTTAAGATTATATGATCATATATAAATTATCATTTATTATATTAATATACTATAGTATTGAAAAGAGCATATTAAAATAAAGTTTTAATTAATAATTTAAGAACTTTAACATTAAAAAAATCCAAGAAAGAAAAGTGTTTTGTTGGTATATGAACCAGCACAAATTTGGCCGTGAAGAGAGGCTTTTTTCTCCTTTTTATTTAATAAAAAAATCTTATTGATCAAAGCAATTTTCATAAATTAAAAATAGGGATATTTTAGTATTAATTATAATGGTTAAGTGACTGACAAATAAATAAATAAATATACAGCTTTGGGTGTAAATTGAGAAGATTAAAATTTTTCTAAATAATCACTAGTAATTAATGCTAAACATTATCTTTTTAACTTTTTTTTTCATTTTGAAATTTTATCGTAAAAATAAAATATTTCAGGTTAATTTGATTCTCGAAAGATTTGGATTACGCTAATCCTGATTTTTTTTCTCTGAAATGAAATCAAGTTAGGGATATATACAAATAAAAAATTTAAAAATAAAACAGAGAGAATGAATAAAGAAGAAGATAATAAAGAAGTCTTTTTTTTTTTTTAAAAGATAAAGATAAAGAAAAATCTGAAGTAGATAATCAGTTATTGTTATGTAGAGATAAATAGGAATTTATTCTTTTTTATTTAAAATTATTAAAATTTAATAATTAAAATTAAAGATTTGGCAAGAATTCATCCATTGCTTTGGTGCTAATCAAAATTTTATCTTTAAAAATGGATTAAAACAAAAGGGAATGAAGGAAAAATGTTAAAAGAGATTAGACCAGCTAATTTGATTAGGAACTTAGATTCCAAGAAATCCACTTCTTTACAACTCCTAGACATGACCTAAAATTACTTATATTTAACTATAATTAGAAAAGCCTAATTAATTATTACATATTAAAAAAAAAAAAGCCAAAGATGAAAACAGCTTGGAATCTTTTTCTATCTCACAGCCACAAACCCTTTCTCCTTCCTCACTTGGTTCTTCAAAATTCCTGCAAAAAACCCCATAATATATTTATTATTAGTTACTCAAAAAAAAGCAAATAAAAGAAAATTTTTCACATTTATTTTTCCAGAATTTTTTTTTTCTTTTTAAATTACTAGAAATATATATTCTTTTGTAATGGTATGAATAAAGAGAAGAAGGAAACTGACTATATAATCAGACATGCTCAAGCATTAAAATCCAAAGCTGTTTTTATTCTCAAAATAATAACAGAAACCCTTCTTCAATTACTACAAAAATCAAATTTTAATAAATATTAAACACCAAATATATATATATATATATATATCTTTCACTTAAAAACTGAACAAATGTTAAATATATATTTTTTAATTAAAACACAAATCAAAATTCCAGCAAAGGGTTATCTTTCATTGTGTAACCTGATAGATAAATGAAAAAATAAAAAGAAAAGATGAAGGAAGACATAGATTTACCTTGAGGTTTACAGTCAGGGGGTTCTTCAAAAAGAGATAAAGAAAGTTGTTTGTGAGCAACACCAATGTCAAACAAAATGAGACCAGATTTAGGGTCATCAACAATGATGTCTTTAACAGGTAACCAAAGGAAGAGCTCTTCTTGGGTTAACCCAACAACTCCAATGAGGCTTCCATAAGTGAGGTTGGCCCTTACGACACTGTCAAAAAACACCCTATTTTCATACTTGGTCAAGCATGGTCCATCCAGGAAAACTTCAAGGGTTCCATTCTCTGAAAGTGTATAGGATTTCACTTCTTTTGGAAGCAGCCCGGCTGGTAAACCTCTTGAAACAAGAAGATCATGGATTGAAAAATAAGAAGAAAAAGAAAAGGGCAAAGAAAGCCAAAACATTATGAAAAAACAAATCAATTTTGTTAAACAAACTCTGGTTTTGTTGCTGCTAAAATATTCCATGGATGATACTCAAAATGCATAGAAAGATGGAAAAGAGAAAAGAGAGAAAAAGAAATAAAAATGAAAAAGGAAAGGCTTAAGAGGCAATGGGTATCAGCCAGTTAGGGGGAGTTAGAAGAAAAAAAAGGCCGAAAACACTGTTTTTAAAAGGGTGAGAAAAAAAGTGAGATGACTCTTTTGTCCTTGGTTGGTGAATGAGGCCAATTTACAAAGGAGTGGCTTAATTTAGGTTTAATTAATTAATTTTCTTGTAATTTATGGCCTAATGAACATTAATTGAATAATAGGTCTGATTTTTTTAAAAGATTTTTTAATTTGTTGGTTTACTTGTTCTTGGGTTAATATATCTGTGCTAAGTGGTCCATTGGGTATGATGTGATCTTGAATTATTTGCATTATTTGTCTTGTTTTTATGTGCATAATTGTTGAGTATTTTAGGGCACAGAATTTGGCATGTTTGTCATGTGGAAGTTGGAAAATATCATCATCTTATATCATTTATGAAAATTTAAAAGATTTGGGCCAGATTTATTACATGTTTTTTTTCATTGTTAATTGAACTAAAAATCATACAATTGCATCAAATTCTTTGCTTGTTGTTACTTTTTCATTTCCTTCAATGGTATATGGTTCTTACTACATTGTGCATCTTGATATGAGCTTTGAATGAATTCAATACTCAACGTTGCAAACTTGTTCATAGTTCTTAATTCAAAATTAACATTTGCAAAAAAAAATATAAAATAAAATCTATTATGACATAATCAAATAATATTATATTATTTTCGTTACGTTTTGTTTTTGATTTACATGGTATAATATCCGATCATATACAATTTTGAATAATCAAATTTGTGATAATTCCAAATTATTTGAAAGATAATTATAAGATAATTTTATCTAAAATTTTTTGTAATTATTAGATTTTAGAAAGATTTTATGAACCAAATAAAATCTTTTATACTATTTTAGAATTTGCTTTTCTTTTATCACAAGCAAAAACTCAAATAATTCACACAAAAATGGGTCCCCTACCAAATTGTTGCATGGGCAAAAGGATCTATCAATCTCAATCTTTCTTGTTCAGATCTCATCACACAAAGGACAATGCTCCAAGGCAAGCAAAAATTGTTATCAAAAACCCTAACCCTAATGATCACGAACTAGGGTTAATTGACCATGAAAGGGTAATTTGGTCAAATCAGAACTCAATCTTAACCTTGGATTGTACAGCAACACTTTGAAGCATGTAACGGTTGCATCTTGCATGTTGCAGTCAAAAAGACAAGAACTCTCAAAGTCGCCCATTTTGTCAGAGTAGCAAATGAAGGGTAAACATGTCATTGCAACTCCATTATTCAGATTCTAACATTTTTTATTTTTCCAGCCAAAAATAAGCTAGGCTTAGATTCAGCCAAAAATCATTGCCAAAAATCAAGAATTTTTTTTTATCTGACAAAAGTAACAAAACAGATTCTTTATTTACCTTTTTGCCACTTTTGGAAAGGAGAGGGGGGACAGTAACCTGAATTAAACTGGACAAAGTTATTTGTTTTTTTTTTTTAATTTCTTGAAGGGTAATGATTACATTACAGTCGGGGGACCTAGGGTAGATGACCCAGCAAAATGATTTGACACACGTGGACCAAGAGTGACTGGCAACTTGGCAATGCCGGTTGGTCAGATGGTCACGAGCAGGATTGTGTTGAAGGGATGGGTCAGGGTAAAAGCAGGTTGCCAGTTGGGAATTGGCCCACTTGTGGGACATGCACGTCCCCACGCGTGACATGTGCGTGACCTCTTTCTATCATGGAATCTACTGTCCCAAAGGTTATCACTCTTTTCTATTTTAAATAAAATAAATAATTAAATTCATTATTTACCTCTTAAATTATTATTGTATTGATTTATATTTGAGTTAAGAATTAGTAACTTAAAAACATAACATGGGAATAAGATATAAAAAATAATAAAAATTTATGAAAATGACCTTGTTTGATAAAATTAAAAAAAATAATTTATATTTTTATATTAATACAAATTATATCATGTAATTTTCATCTAAAATATGATATAAATATATAAATTATCAATATATTATATTATATAAATATATAAATTATTATGTCTAACGTGAATGATCTTTAAATTATAATAAAACGTTAATGTTTACAGTTTAAATAAAATCTAATTTTATTTACAGTTAATGTAATAATCTTATAAATTTTTTTAAATTGTTTGAGATCATCATCTTTTTAACAGTGCTTGATTTTGATTCTCTCTATTTTTTTTTTTTGAAAGAAGACAGGATTTGCTCTTTATAAAACAAAAAAAAAAAAAGAAATTAGATTCCTTTTCATTTATATTGGTTCCTCAACAAGTAAAGGATTCTTAGTAATAGACATCTTCCAAACTTATTCTTTTGAATGACAAAAGTCATATAAGTAGATGAGATTAACATAAATAAAATAGCACTAGTACTTATCTCTATCTTTTTAGATGATTTTAGAACATTTAAATTGAGTCAAGAAGACATAGGAAAAATTACTTCATACACCATTGAGATTAAAAGATTTTCACATATTATACTTTAAATAATTAATAAATTTTTATGCTAAATAAAAAAAAAGGGTATGTGATATTATTTTAAATTTGTTTATGGAGTATTTAAAATTTTCACCTATAATGTATGAAATAATACATTTTTTGGTGTATAATTGTTACTATGCAGTATGCACTATATTTTTTTATCAATATTTAAAACATAATTTATTCATCAATGTTGAGATAAAAGGCTTCCAATGTAGTAAAATTAATATTTTTTTTTCATATTTATAGAATTAATTAATATATATAAGCAATTTTCTAGAATAAACTTTAACAAACTTGCAATTGTAATTAGCTAGGAAGCTTGACTTATTAAAATTTATTCTATAAATAAAGTTTAATAAGCTTCTTAATTATTATACTATATGAACATATACCTAGCTAGCCAGCACATTTTGAACAAAAGGAAAAGTGCTTTTTCTAATATTCTCTTTGTTTCTTTTGGCAAAAAAAGAAATTCTCTTTGTTTCCAAGAAGAATATTTATCTCTTGTTCCTTTATTAGGCCCATCAACTTTCACACAAAGTCAAAGAAATTTGAGGAAAAAAAAAAGATGAGTTCTTAAAATATCCCAAAAGAAAGTTTGTAATTTCATTTTTATTTTTCCTCAAATATGTTTCTAATTTCTTTATTTTCTTTTAAATGATATCTTTTGTTTTTATTTATAATATAATAAATAAAAAGTAAAAGAATTTACCAAAAGAAATCAATAAAGAAAGAGATTGAGATCTTAAAAAGAATAGTTGTCCATTCAAGCTACCATACCAATTTTTATCAAGGCAAACATAACTAGAATTAATCAGACAAAAATATTTTTTAAACCCATAGATGGCTTTCCGAAAAAAAAAAATTTTATTTTCTTAACAATTTTCACTACTAATTAGAGAAACATACACAAATAACCATCAATTGAATTTGAAGCTTTTGTCCTTTCATGTTTTCATTTTGGTTGACTTTTGCTACACTAACCATGTGAAATAATCAGTTGGCTAAATCATGAACTAGGGAGAACATTGGGAACACTGTGAAATGGGATTTCAACCCATTTTCCAAGCACTAAAAATAGTAGTATGTAATAAAAAAGCACATGCTTTCATCTAATAGCAGTCAAATTCAATCATGGTCAATTGAATGTAACTTTTTTCTTTGATATGAATTCATCAGCAGATTTAAAAGAGAAAAAAATCAAATCCGCTCTTTAAACAGAAGAAGCATACGATAACTACTAAATCAAATGTTCCAATGCATTTATGAAAAGAGTTTTAATAACTTTGCCAGTGCGATTTGGTGAAAAAGGTGAAACAAATTGAGCATGCAACATGAAACATTAATCAAACTTATGAATAATGGTCTCAGTTGTGGTCAATTCTCCTTGAAAAAAACATCATGCTCAATCCTTCTTATCAAAAGACCCCATAAAGAAAAGGAACAATCAATATTTTAAGTTGATCTTCAAATAACACAAAAAAAATAAAAAAGTGGTGTTTTTTTCACTTGCAATGTAATCAATGACAGTCTGAAAATTTGTTGTTAGGCACTAGGGAATATCTTGTCATTGTTGCTTTCTCTTTCTTAAATCATCTACCATTGTCTCTTATTCTCCCTCTCACTTGTTTTCCCTTTCCATGAAAAGGAAAAAGGTGAAAAACGAACCCCACGTTGAAACCTGTTGGCTAATGAGCTAGACATGGTCTGACCACGCTCTCAAGTCATCAGTCAAGGGTTCAAGGAGGAGGAGAATGACCAGAAACAGAGAAAATGAAATAGAAAAAGGATACCATAGATTAATACTTGTATGGGTTTAGTTAGATAAACGTTTTGGCGTGAAGATTAAGTGAATTAATGTTTGCTTTTGTTCAACTTGAAGAATAATCCAAATTAAAGTCGATCCTAATCCTAATCGAGTTGAGTTTAGGATATATTAATAAATCAAACTCAAAGATTAATCAAACTTATTTCTTCAAATAAGTGTTTTAATCTTTATGTTGCTCCGACTGTTCATTTTTCATAAAGTATCTGTTCGACATGGTTATAGAAGTGTGATCCTTCAAATATATAAATAATTTGAATGTACGGAGTTGGATATTATTACCCTATCCAACACTAACCCTAAATCAAGTTTTAAAAATGAATTTGATATAATTTGAATTAACCAAGTTGGAGTTTGATTATGGACATTTGATTCATGAAGATAGTCATATCTATTTCAAAGATTAATTATGCTATAAAGATGTTCATATGTATGAAAAATTTTTTGTATTCATTTTCACCGAAAATGCAATCTAAAAATTTTTGTTTTCTTGAATGAGGGTGAGAATAGATTAGGGGCAGAAGATGTTGAATAATGTTCTTAGTTGCCAATGAGTTCCAGATTCAGTCAACAAGTAGGCTTTTAGTGCTTAATCTAGTGGTAGGACCCTAATCCCATTTACTCTTTTAATTTCTTCAAAATTCAAAGCAAACGAGTAAGGATGGAAAATGAAAATCCACCACCACACTATTCCATGATCGGCTGTCATCAAAAATTTTTTCTTGTTTACACTTAGAGCAAACATGAGATTTCATTGGACTATGATCATTATTTATAGCATTGAATGTTAGTCTTAATTGACAATCATTTGAATTGAATGGTGGATAGGAAAAAGCGAGAGCAATTTCCAGGGAGAAGTTTTGTCAATGCTTTGTTTACCATATAAGACCTTGGATTGCAAGGAACATGAAGCACATCTCTCGGTTGAGTCAAGCAACTTCACTCAGCAGGTTTGATCCAAGTTCTCAATTTTCCTTCGAGTTTATCTTCATATTGATTTTCTACTTTTTTTTTTTTTTTGTGAAGGTGATCATTGACATGTTTTTCATTCCTTTTGATGTTTTTTCAGGTATTAAGTTCATTTGCGTTTGATACAATTATTATATCTGAAAGCTATATCTGGGTAAGTTCTTGAACTCATCTTCACCTTGATATGTTATGTTATCAATTTGCTTCAATCCACAAAAACTTAAAATTTCAAGATTTAAAGTTAATTCAAACTAGAGACAGTCGATCCAAGTACTCAAAGAAATTTTAAAGAAATTTCTATGCTGATGTTATGCTCAAAATATATTCTGAGGTTGATCATCCATTTTTAGGATTCAAAGCTCAATAAGTTCTTGCATTCATCTTCACGTTAATGTTTATCATGTCAAATTGAATCAAATAGGGTTGAGAATGTTAATGCTTATGTGCATTAAAACATGCTACTCCACAAAGAAAATTATCAAAGTTACATTATCAATGGTGGTAGAAAGGATTGATGAAAATGATTTATTACATTTGATGACATTAAAGCTCTAGTACTGCAGAATTTTGCAGGGTTAATAACAGAAAAAGATGGCAGATGCTATCATAGACGTTGTAGCAGGGAAGTTGATTGATGCTCTGAAAGAGCATAGTGGTCGAATACTTGAATTTCGAAGCCAGTTCACGGAGCTGAAGACGCAGCTTGACCTGATGAAGTCCTTTCTTGCTGATGCCAACAAGCTGAAAAGGAAGGAGGAAACCGTGAAGACAACTTTAAGCATGATCAGAGAATTGACTTATGATGCGGAGGATATACTGACAGATTGCTTGCTTAGAGCTGAATACCAAGAAGAGTTTTTTCGATGCAACACTTTCCTTCCCCATAAGATGATCTTTCAGCATCGAACGGGAAGAAAGCTTAAAGATATTAATGGACGGATAGAGAAGATGCAGAAGATCCTGAACACATATTTCAAGACGATTGGACAGCAGAGTGTTCATGATGATGGTGGTAGTATCGTTAGGAGGTGGACATCACCAGCTTTCGATGAATCCACCATAGTTGGTTTGGCAGAGGACACGAAGAAGATTATAGGCTGGATTCTTCCTATGAAAAAACAGTTACACCGAGTTGGGATTGTGGGGATGGGGGGGTTGGGGAAAACAACCATAACCCAGAAGATCTATAACAATGACCTGATCCTCGAGCGATTTGAGGAGAGAATTTGGGTGTCAATATCTCAGACTGTCAATGAGGAAGAGATCATGAAGACCATGCTGAAGCAATTGGGAGAGGATACTTATGGACTGGATATGGGTCAAATGCTGCCAAAGATTAAACAAGCACTTGATGGCAAAGACTATCTGATAGTGATGGATGATGTCTGGAGTGCTCATGGATGGTGGGAAAGATTGCTTGCTGGACTACCCAAGAGGGAGGGGCAGAGCAGTGCTATAATAATCACTACAAGGAAAGAAAGTGTTGCCATAGAGATGGGGGTGGAGAAAGCTCAAATTCACCAACCCCGAATACTCAATGAAGAAGAAAGCTGGGCGTTGTTCTGTAGAATTGCATTTTCTTCAGAAAAGGAAGCAAAACAGCACTACGAGTTGGAAGAGCTAGGGAAAGATATAGTGAAGAAATGCTGTGGACTCCCGCTGGCTATTAAGACTGTAGGAGGCTTGCTGAAATCAAAAACTCTGTCAACGGATGTTTGGAGACGGATTTGTAAAAATTTCCACGATGAATTGGCCACTAGAGAAGGTGAAAGCTCAGTAATGGCTTCATTACAATTGAGCTATGATGAGCTGCCTACTCGCCTGAAGCAATGCCTGTTATGTTTCTCCATCTATCCAGAGGACTCGGTGATAAGTGCTGAGCAGTTGGTTCATTGGTGGGTTGGAGAGGGTTTCATCCAGGGAAAGGACACCAGAACAGCAATAGAATTAGCATTTGATTACCTGTCAGAGCTCATCAGTAGATGCCTTGTTGAAGTTGTCAAGCAGAGAGGTTTTGATGGAAGAGTCTATAGTTGCAAGATGCATGATCTTGTCAGAGACTTGACCATCAAAATTGCCAGAGAAGAGGCCTTTTGCAGATTTGACGAACATGGCAAGCAAAGACCTACTAATCAATCGCGGCGTTTGGGTTTCACGGGCGAAGAAGATGTGAAATCATTGAATAGAAAGTCAAAGCTCCGGGCATTCCTGATGATGAGCAGCTCTCCAGTTAGCTTTGACAGGATCATCCCACTGTTCAGAGTAAAGTCCCTCAGGGTGTTGGAATTCTCCCAGAATAAGCTAGAAAACATTCCCATTCAGAAACTACTGCGTTGGATCATCTCCCTTGAACGCCTAGCATATCTGAACCTAAGAGGAGTTGCGGCCCTGAAGGAACTGCCACAGTTAATCGGAGAGCTCCGGAACCTCCAGCTTTTGGTTTTGACTGGATGCAACAATCTGCAGAAACTACCCTCATCGATCATAAATCTGCAGAAGTTAAATGTATTGGACATAGGGTACTGTCCTATCCAATACCTCCCTCAGGGCTTAGGGAGGCTTTCAAATCTTCAAGAGCTATCAGGATTCACAGTACCAAGTGCAGCTGACAGGAATGGCTGTCGTCTGGGAGAGCTCCAAGGGATGTTACAGCTTAAAGTGCTGCGAGTAAACATAAGCGAAGAAAGTGACATTGCAGAAGAGGAACTGGCTGTCCTGTCTCAGCTCAAACAACTAAAGGTTTTATCAATCAACACTGAAGGATGTGAGAAAGAAGACATTTTCAGGAAACTAGATGGTTTGTCTCCTCCGCCACATCTTGAGGAGCTGTACCTCAGGTATTACCGTGGAGTAACCACACCAATGTGGATTAATCCCAACTCACTCCGTGATTTGCAGTACCTGTGTATTGAAAATGGAGACCTGCAATTCATGCACCCTAGCTTTGAAGGTGGCAAGACTATCACTTGGAAGGTTGAGGGTCTTTGTCTGAAGTTCCTGGCAAGGCTTACTGTGGAGTGGGAACTGGTGAAGAGTGTGATGCCAAGAATTAGGTATGTTGAAGTTAGCCATTGTTACATGTTGAAATCATTTCCCTGCAACATTGAAATACTTGGAGTTTGGAGGAAATGAGGGAAGAGAAAGAAAAGGTGTTGATTAAGTGGTATCATACACCCAAGCTTGCAGAGTCTTTTACTCTTGAAGATTGGGACATGATCATCGTGCCCATGGCCCACATGTTCTTACAAGTTTTGAGTTTTTCTTAAAGAAAGTAGCTGTTATATCATCAAATAATTTGCAGAAATTAGCTTCATATTAAGGCTTACTTATATATTTGATTGAATGTACCAATAATTCTTAAGATCTATAAAAGGAGTTTCAATGTGCCATTTCTTGTTTTCTTTTACCTTTTCTTTGAAACTATTTTGAAAATGTCTGGAAGAAGTTTGCCACTAACATATTTGTCATTTTCAACAGGCTCAAAACTACTAGCAAGCAAGGAATGATCCCAAAATAACTTCTTGAATTACAAGTTAACATGGTTTTATATCAACATTTCCTTTGCGTTAGCCACTTCTGACCACAATCCAAAATAAAAACTTCTTAATGAAGATCAAAAGTAATTAAGAGTCCACACACTATGATTCTCTAATAAACTTTGTTGCCATTCATGAATGCTACACGTAGTCATTGGACGATTAGCATGACCACTACTCCCAAATCCCATACTGGTTCACCAAGGTGTTATTTAGTTACATACATTTATTCAGTACATTATTTAGTTACATACATTTATTCAGTACACTAAGGCAATCTAACGATTAAACTACAAACTAAGAAAGTAATTATGAATTTTAACTATTGAATTAACAAATTTTTCATCCTTATCTCTTTCATCATTTCTACCAAGCAAAGCGTAAATGATATGACTCAAATTTGGTTTTAGCAAGATTCCTACTGAAGAATAATTCATAAAAATGAAAACCTGAAACCAAGTTTCGTTTCATGTGTATCCAATTTCAAGACTGGTCACATGAATATATCCCACACCCATCAATTAATACAGCTTTCTGCATGGAACTTCATAGCCTTCTGTCAAACCGTATTTATATCTAAAGACTGCACGTGTGCTCATATACATAAAGTTGGCCAAGAAAAGGAGCAACTGAAAACCAAGGCAATGCATCCATATAGCTCAAAGTTAAATGGAAATAAATCTTATGTGAGATCAAATGTAACCATATGTTGCTGACATACTTCTCAATTGATAATGTTTCAAATAACAAACTCATATAGGTCTATTTCTGTCTGCATAAAACTACTACAAAGACTTTACAGGGGAAAAATTATAGAACAGATAATAGTACCCCAGAACAAGCGTTCCCATAACATGCAGAATAGTGATATCAGCTTGCAAACTACCAACTATCCTTGCAGTGAAACATTGAAGAACTGTCAAATAAAAAAAGGTTGTGTGATGAAAATTAAACTTTAAACCAACATTACTAAGAGGAGTATAGAAAGGTGTTTCAGGTACCTTGTCAAGATGATGATTCCGACTGACTTGCTGCTTGCTTTGGTCTGAACTGCCCAGCAGGAGGAGGACCATCTTTTCGTCTCTCGTATCTTCTTTTCACATATTTTGTTTCTTTTCTTGCTTTTGGTTGATAAGTAGGGTATTTGCAGGGAATTATTTCCCCATTGATATATTTATCACCTAAAAATCACACAAAAGCAAAAGCAAAAGCACATTTTATGACCATAATCTAGCCCTCTGGGGAAACGAAAAATTTATTTGCATAACTAAATTCAATTCCCAACCAACCTCCATAATCTTTGTTTTTGACATCTATGTAGGAATCAGGTAGCACCCAAAGAACTCCAGGCAATCCTACATCCAAAAGAATAAAATTCATTTTGTCACAATAACAACATAATTTAAATAGACAACTGCCTGTTAAATCTTCTTACCCTTGAACTTTTCAGAGGTTTCTTCTGATACAGTACATTGGAACCCTGTATATGTAGTAGTGCTAAAAGCATACATGTTCTTCTTTGCTTCTTCCATGCTGTAATATAGAAAAAAATCACATCCAAGATTTTTTTATTACAATTACTAGATACACATATACTCACAGAAGTGGAATTATTGTATGTTAATTTATTATGTAATAATAAGGTAGCAGACTCTTAATGATTAAACACATGCACAAAGAAAAGCTGATCTCATGCTGATAACTAAGAAAGGCTCATCCATGATATCTGGTCTTGATCAAGACTGCGGACAGCCAGAAAGTTTGCTACTATAAAGCTAGAAGAGACATATGAGTTGTAAGCCTCACTATATGTACAAATGCAGATCAAACTGGTTAGTTAATAGACAACAACCAACTCTATTACAAAGTTTTGAGGATCTCAAAAGCTGAGGTGATAGATTCAGGTAAACAGGTATATTTCTAGCCTAAGACAAAGATTCTGCCCTAACTCCTAAGTAGCCTGAATTTCTAAGGATAAACTATTATAATGTGGTCTGAAAGTTGCTATAATAAACCAGATGAATTGCAAATTTTCTCCTCTTCACTCCAATTGCAACTTTATCAGCAACTAATGTTAGGATTATTCAAAAGCTTGCTAGCAATGACCTTGTTCAATCTTATTTCTTTCATTCATTTCAAGGCTCCATCTTTATTCATAAGTCATAACCAACTGGCCAAAACAATTAGATATGTAACCATAATAATAAAAACCCCCAACTTAAACTCAATACAATTAAACAAAGGAATTATCTTTCTATGTTTCATAAAGAACCCAGGGAAATAAACAAGCTCCCCCAGTAAAAGGGAAAAAAAGGAATTTTGCAGCACTAAAATAAAAAACCAAGCAAAACCCACAAAAAAATCTCATCAAAATTTGACATTTCACAACAAAACAAAACAAACCTAGAAAACCAAAAAGAAAATTATTTCAAACACTTCATAAAAAAAAAAAACAAAACCCAGAAAAACTTGCATAAAGTTTCCATATTTTTCAGAGTTCGAACTAAATAAAAGAAAGCCAGAGAGCAGAAAGTCTAACCTGCCAAGGACAGTAGCAAGAGTGTTAAGATAAGTCTCAATCATTTGTTCTCTTGTAGGAGCAGGGTCTTTAGGGAACTCCATAACAATAAGCCAATGATTATAATCACAGCCAGGTAACATTATCGTTTCCCTTGGCTCATTGCTGCTGCTCCTCTTGGGCGAATAGTCACTGTCAACTGCTGCAGCTTTGATAGTCCGAGGAGGACGACTTGACGATGATGATGATGCAAGGTGATGGGTCAGTGAGCTGACACGCAAAGTAGGAGGTGGAGTGAGTTGGAGACGAGTACGAAGAAAGGGCTTTGGGGGTAGAAGGAGAGAAGAAGGGTTTAAGAGAGTTGCCATTGGAAATGTCAAAGAGAAAGGAGAAAGAGAAGAGAAAAGAGATTAGATTGTGATTTTTATGACTTGAAGGGGAAAATGTTACAGGGTTTGGGGACCTTGATATGTTGATATTTTTCGAATTTGATTTTGGGCAACGAATAGAAACATTGAGTTTGGGTCAATATATTTTTGGGCTAAAAACCAATAACTTCGTGAAACTTTGGGCTTGAGCCTCGAGGTTGAAAATGGGACTGGATTTTGCTCTTTCTGAAAAGAAATTTTGGTTGAAAAAAAGTTCAGGCGAGGGTGCCCATTCTATTTTAATTCAGGTATGTGCTGTCTCCAAAACTTATATTAGACATTTGGATTATTATTGGTAGCGAGAATCGAATATAAATTTTATAAATGAAATATTTGATTTTTATTAATTTAATTAAACTTAAATTTTTTGGATTAAGGTTTTGAAGTTTTCTTACTATTTAATACTTAAATTAAAAATAATTGAATTGAGTTTTTTTTTTAATTAAGCTAGGGTAAGGGTAAAATTTTAAAATTTAATTTCGACTTGATATATGTAAAAAATATATTTTATTATTTATTTATTTTTATATTTATATATGTATTTTACTAAAAAATATTATTTAATATTTTAATTTAATAAATTTACTTACCATCCCATTTGGTTTTTTATATTTATTATTTTCTTTGTTTTTAAAATTTTTTATTAGATAAATTCTTTAAAGAAAAGACAATAGATACAAAAATGACAAAACAATCTATATTAGTTGAATTTTAATTCGTCATGATTTAATCGATACGAGATTTTTTATTAAAATAAAGATTAAATTTTATCTCTTTTAATAATTTAAATTAAATCAAGATCGGGTTTAAAGCGTTATACCCTAACTCTCATCATGATATATAAAGGAATATATTTTATTATTTATTTAATTTGTATTATATATATTATATTAATAAAAATATTATTAAATATTTTAATTTAATAAAAACTATATTTATATATAATTATATTATAATTTATATTAAAAATAAATATATTTATATTTATCTATGTATTATCGTCTATTAAAATTTAACATAAAATTTTAGTTTTCTTATATTAAAATCTAATTTAAAATTTTAAAAAATAAATCAACAGTGAAACACGAGTCTAATTCTAATGTCTTAAAGTCCAAGATTGGTCTGTTCTTTTTCCATAAGAATTAAGTAATATTGACAACAGAGCTTAGAAATAATAAACGCATATGCCACATGGAATTCTGCATGGATTTTTGCAATATGCATGTTCAAATTTCAATACAGCCTGAGCTTCATTTGGAGTTGGTATCCCTGGGACTTGGGTTTCAGTTTCTGGCTAGGAGGCCTTTTGGTCTTACCATTTAGGGGACACATCTTTTCATTCATGCTCAGTAATATTTGAGTCATGGAGCTGATAAAGTCAAATGCCATGAAAACTGGAGTTTACACTAACAGCAAATTGCTATCCTAAATTTTTGGGTCAGAATCGAACTATGTTTTAATCAATGTGCCAGAAATTAGGGTGTTGTGGTTCACTACTGGTTTCTTCACCTGGCAGCAGAATAATGACATAGGAGAATGGTGAATATGTGGCTTCCAATCTGAAGAACATCAGGAATCCTGTCTTGGATAATGGATCATTCCAGTTCATAAACCATAGCTTCAAGATTTCTATCCTACTGCCATGTGCTTGATATAATAATCTAGCAAGTTGAGATAGAGCATTTTTGTTGAACTCTAATCCTGATTATGCTATGTTTCATGTCAATGGTTGTGGTTTCTGCTTTTTTCACTATTCACTTCATGACCAGAATGTGCTATGATCGGAAAAAGAAAGAAATGTTGCCACTGCAAAAATAAATTATCAGCTGTCTGACTCTGACCCTAACATCTGACTTTGGAAACGAAATGAAACTCTGGCCAGGAGCCACTGTGACAAGGCATGAAAATGGGCTTAACTGAACCAAGGTGGATTCTGCATCCTGTGCTATGGCCCAACTTGAGAACCCCAAATCTAGGCCAATAACCCAACCAAAGTACAACTACAATGAATGACAAGTACAGTCAAAATACAAGCAGTTGCCATGAATTATTCCTTTGAAGAATCTGCTGGAATATTTTCAATACTATTTGGCATCTAAACACACACACACATCACTACTGAAAATAACAGATTTGAAAATTAGCAACTCCTTCTCAACCACTCTTTCTCCATTATTCTTCTTAAATATGCGAAATAATTTTTTAACTAGTGGTCAGTGAATGATGCAAGCTTGAAAACAGTATCTAAATCATCTTGTTTAAGTAAACGAGAGTTGTTAGTTGGGAGAAATGACAGATAGGAAGATAATAATATATATAATTAAGCTAGCTCAACTTCACAAGAGTGGTTTAATTGGTTGACTAATGATTATTATCATCAGTGTTGTTTATTGGATCTCAAATATATAGACATTCAAACATGTCTGGTCTGACTCTAGCATATCACTGTATATCATCCATTTCCTCGTATAAAACCTTTATCAATTTTGTCTGTTTCATATATTTGAATATGAAACCAGCTCCGGCAGAGAAGAAGGCTGTTTAATCAGTTGAATTGAGCAGTGTTAGATGGTAGGAAGACATGGACATGTACTTCTCAACATACCCCAACATCAGAATATAGTGAGGATTTCATTTATACAGTTGAATAATCATTGGTAGTACAAAAAACAAAGAATTTAAGCAGTTGGGGAAAAGGTTAAAGTTGCGGAATCCAGGAAGGTTGGTAGCATTACAACCTGCCTCTGATTCAAACCTGAAAATGTCAAAAATTGTTATCTTTAATCTTTGTGTCAGTCTCAGACATTCACCTTCACAAGTGCAGATATCCATTGTTAAACAAAAAAGAACTTGTCTGGTCTTCAACTTGATTGAATGCTAACTCCACCAAGTGAGATTACTGCAATTTTTAAATTCTGAAAGAAAGGTATATACCATATACCCTTTTTTATCAGCTGATTAAACAATGTTTCAATCAGCAGTCAATGATTCAAGTTTCGGTTTTCAAGCTTTTTTTTTTTTTGCATGAATAATGTGGCTCCAATAAACACAAATAGTCAATTCAGATTGGAGACCAGAAGAGTATTTTAAGGCTTTTTGCATGAATAATGTGGCTCTGGTGGCTATAGTTAATTAATCCAGGTTGTCCAAGTGTCAGTTTCAAAAAAAAAAAAAAGTATGAAAGTTTTTGTCATAAATTAACATGAATCTATCTTTACGTCCTTGTATTTTCCCTCATTCAACCTTACCAATCAACATCAAAATCATTTCTTAAAAAATTTCCCATTATTTATTTAATTGTTGTAATTATCCTAGTGTTGTTAAATTCAACAATGCTAGATGTTAGGAGCACATTAGACAGAAACTTCTCACCAGAAATTTAAAAAAAAAAAAAAGATTACTGTTATCTTTTTTAATACGAAATAGAATGTAATTTAAAGATTAAAAAAGAAGAAGAAAGAATAGCAGTTTTAAGAATTTGAATCTCAAAATCGCTAGATGTCACCTCTTAACAATTGATGCATGAATTGATTAAGAAAGCCTCAGATTATAAGATTATTATTGTCAATATTGAGAAACTGCATCCCTCCAGGATTGGATTCAATAAAGAATTCTATCAAGGAAAATTTCAAAATTTAAATATAGATAGCGAAAGACATAAATATAAATAATAAAAAATAATACGAGAGATAAGAAAGTAAATGAAAATATTATTTTTTTTTATAAAAATGAGTGATATGAAAAAATTTCAAATTATAATATAACATGATTATCTTTTTGGCTTTTTACACAATCAATCCCAAAATCTTGAATATAAAACTTAAATTATTGTTGTTGTATGCTAGAATTTTAGCTAAAATGTACTAATGCAACAAGCAAAACTTGTCCCAATCTTGATTTATAGTTGCTTGACCAAAGATAAAATTCCAAATTAGGTGCTCCTGTCATCTTTCATCACCTTCAATTATATGGACCAAATATTTTTTTGTTTTACTTTCTTGGTAGCTTAAATCTTCATTCTATATATCCAAGTTGCTGACAATTATTTGCACATGCAGCTGCATGAATACAAAGAAAGAAAATTATTATCAAACAAGGATCAAATCAAAGGTAGTCAAGAATCACAAAAACTGTTTAACATTATTTATACATGACATACGTTATATTCAAACGTAATTTTCACGTCAAATGAAATTAAATGATCACGATACTTATAACTATTATCATATTTTTTACGATAATTACAAATTGTGACAATCGATTAAACAATTAATCATCATTGGATGTATTACAACTAAAATCCATTTTTTTCCATCTAGTTCCTCTATTATTGCAAACCATTATTAAATTTAGACATAATACGCTTTTTGGTTATTAGAGGAACACACATTTTATTTTTCGAATCAAAAAAATAAATTTTTTTTTTTTTGAAAGTATAGAAGCAAAACAATCAACCGATTGATATTGAAAGACCCAAAATATTTTGAAAATATATCATTTTTAGATCCAATGAAAAAAAAAAAAGTCAAATAGAGATTTGTTTTTTTCTTTCATATTTATTTCAATTGTTAATTCGATATAAAAGGTGGCATCCATCAATCAACCTAAAACAAACTGCTCACGACGATGTTTTTGGGCCAGTGTGTTGGGCCTGTGGCGAAGGGTCCCAAGAGGGAAACTAGGCAGATATCCCTCACGTGTGGATGGGGCTTTTGGGGCAAAGGGAAATCTATGGGGCCACACGTGTTATTGTCTGATGACGTGTCGACAATAGCCACGTGTGGGATGACATCAAAATAGGTGCCTCCACGACTATGCAACATGGCCATAGTTAACATTTCACGTGAATTTTGGACCAACTTAGCTTTCTTTTTTTTTTTTTTTTGCTTTTTTGTCTTAGTGACTAATAATAATATTTGTGACAAAATTTTTGGTACAACATTACTTTTGACCAAATTGCTACATTTTTAACAATAATTAGAAATCAGAAAGTCATGAATATTCCCAAATCCCCCACCCTATACAAGAAAATAAATATGATGTATTAAAAAAATTAGGATTTCCTCTATTTTGCGAG